TAGATAGAAAATTTCGATGGTCTGAATAAAAAGTGTGTTGTATTATCATAAGTCCTCAAGTTGACCAATTATACCTGAATGCGTAATGCATGTGTTACAGTGTAAATTGTTTTGAATTTCTCTTTTTAATCGGTTGAATTTGTCGGGGAAAATTGAAGAGTACATTTTGCTTCTAGTAGTTGAAATTTGCCATTGTTTAAAAATATGCCTCTTTTAATTTTGATTATACTATAGAGGTATATCATGATATTCTTAGCAAAAGCTAGTAAAGAAGATCTTGGCTGAAGAGTTAGGGGAAAAGGTCGGATCTGAACTTAATGATTGTAAGGATTATGTTAATTTTATTAACAGTTAAACTTCTTTCCTGTCAAATTCCTAACTTCAACTTACTACTGCCGGTCAGAATGTAGTTTTAGAATCACATCTGAATATATACTGAGGAGGAGCGGTATTTAACCGCGTAGTTCTACTTGCTGAGTTAGAGAGAATCAGAGTTTCTGATTAGCGCGCGTCCGCCTTTTTGGCTACTCTCTCTCAAAGCTGTTATTACGCTCGACCGTACTCAGGCCCTTTCATAGCTTCGCAGTCAATTAGTGTTAAGGGGCCAACTCGGTTAGAATCTTGATAGCTTCGGCTATATCTCTCTCTCTCTTTTTTTTTTTTTTTTAGTTTAGATTAGTCTTAGTTTACTTCTTAGTCTCTTAAGTTAAAGCCAAGTGTCGGCTTTTATTGTACACTCCAAGAAGGAGTTCTGTTAAATCTTATTTGAATAATAAAGGGTTATTTACCCTTCCATCTTGTTGTTTCTTGTCACACAAACTTAAGCGATTATTCCCTCATCAGTTCTTAAGATTCTTCCCGTTCAACTGTAAATTAGCATTTACAAAGTGAGGAACTCTACATGATAATGGGTCTAAGATAGCTGATTATGAGTAACAAAGTCGGCAAGGCGGAACTTGTAAAAAATCTCTTTAATAATATGCGTTCAGTGAGGCTTAAGAGGATAAAAAGGAACAGGATAGAATTAAAGGAAAAGACGAAGAGAGGCAGGACGGAATTAGAAAAGAAGAAAATAACCAAAAAGAAATTTCAGGCCGCAGTCATTCGAAAAACTTCGGATAATGCAAGCTATTTGCTCAAGAAATGTATTGCTGAATAATTAGCAGAAAACCAAAATGAAGGAGTCTTTTGTCAAAAACCGATGTACCGGGGTAATATCAAAGACTTGAAACTGTTAGTACCGAATATAAAGACACGCAAACTACAATGAAAGTGATGAGAACGACAGGTATATAGCCACAGAGAAAATTTCGAAGGCTCAGCTGAGACATAGTTCATAAATCAAGACGGTTTCAGATATTTCATCTCTAATCTCATTTTCGAGTCTTTAATTAATTGTAAAGATTTCTTGATCAACGGATGATTTTGCATTTTCTGTCTCTTTTTCAAAGTATTCCATAACGGCTCTTTCTTGTCCCAGCATCCACAAATTTCGCTTCAAGAGCGGCAGTGTATTCTTTTACATCTGAAATCATACGCAAATCATTTCGGAATTCGCTTTAGTAGAGTCCTTTATTTCCAAGAGAGCCAATACAGTGCTTTTCTTCACTTTTTCTAATTAGCTGCTGCTTCTTAACGACTGACAACAATCATTTTCACAATGGCTTTCAAACGTTGTTTCATCCTACTCGTAATAAGCATTCAAGCTTATCCACAGTTCCAACATTATTTCTTGCACAGCTCCGAAACTAGAGTTGACACTTAATAAATCAGAGTTCAAGAGTTGATACTTTATTAAAAATCTAAAAACTCGCACAGCAAGTGAATAGTTTATAATAGCTTCAAGAAGAACAGCTGAGATAAAGCAAATTCTTCATTACGTCGATCACTATCGCATACCACTAAACCATTTACAAACAATTATCTACAAATTGTCTCGAAGTTAAATCAATTATCAAAATAACACATTCACACGGGAACCGAACTATCAATTTCCAAGACTTCTTGAAACTTGAACCAGCACTTCTTGAGAAAATTCGATTTAAAAGCGCTTAAAAGAGTTTTATCATCCACAAAGCATCAATTCGCTTCAAATAAATTTAAAACACAGAGTTTGATATAATTAAACAAATGTAACTAAATTTATGCATAAAAATGCCCAATAAACATAAAAAATGTAACACTGAAGAATTCATTCCAAAATTTTACATCTGAAATCATACGCAAATCATTTCGGAATTCGCTTTAGTAGAGTCCTTTATTTCGAGCAAGAGAGCCAATACAGTGCTTTTCTTCACTTTTTCTAATTAGCTGCTGCTTCAAGAGAGCCAATACAGTGCTTTTCTTCACTTTTTCTAATTAGCTGCTGCTTCTTAACGACTGACAACAATCATTTTCACAATGGCTTTCAAACGTTGTTTCATCCTACTCGTAATAAGCATTCAAGCTTATCCACAGTTCCAACATTATTTCTTGCACAGCTCCGAAACTAGAGTTGACACTTAATAAATCAGAGTTCCAAGAGTTGATACTTTATTAAAATCTAAAAACTCGCACAGCAAGTGAATAGTTATAAATAGCTCAAGAAGAACAGCTGAGATAAAGCAAATTCTTCATTACGTGCGATCACTATCGCATACCACTAAAACCATTTACAAAACAATTATCTACAAATGGAAGTCTCGAAGTGTAAATCAATTATCTACAAATGGAAGTTCACATTCACACGACTTGGAACCGAACTATCAGCTATAGGATTAACCAAGACTTCTTGAAACTTGAACCAGCACTTCTTGAGAAAATTCGACCGCAAGAATTTAAAAGCGCTTCAAAAGAGTTTTTATCCGTATCTCACGTTCTAATTGACCTATCCTCACAATTCAAGCATCAATTAATTCAGAATTACAGGTAATATAATACAACACACGGAATAAATGCTTAGAAACACAGTAAGTTGATATAATTTCCATTAAACAAATGTACACACTAAATTTATTGCATAAAATGCACCAAATAAACATATAAAAAATGCGTAACACTGTAAGAATTCATAAAATCCAAAATACAAACAAACACAAATATTTAAATAAATTTACAGCAATACTTACCAAATGTATATATAGAACCAAAAATTTGTAAATTACTGAGAGCATGTAGCTTTACTCTCATTCTGTGTTTGGATTGGACTGGATTTAATTCAGAATGCCTTATTCTCGAAACAGAGAATCTTCCCTTTTACAAACAATGCATACATTAGTCGAGTATTGACTGCAAACTATTTAAGAGTACCAACAATGCATATATTACTCGGGTATTGACTCCAAACTATTTAAGAATACAAACATTACATATGATATTCGAGTTCGTTCTTGATTAAGGAACTTGATTCGAGTTCTTTATTAAAGAAGTCAGCCTAATTTCCCAATTTTCTACTAAAATAACATACGTTGAATATAACCAAAAGCTCTTAAAGCCAACTCAAAATGGCAAGAACTAACCCAGTAGTATATAATCAAAATACAAAATCTTGTTTAGAGTACATATATCATGATTCAAGGTGTCATCTGTGTGTCAAGAAACTGCGAGCTCTGTGCTGCGTAGAATGATAATATGAATGAAGATGGGAATTGTAGTTGCACACTTTACTAAGTTTTTTTTCTTTGCATATCATTGCATCATCAGTTAATAGTCAAAATGCCTATCATTACACACTCTGCAAATACCTCAGAATAACCAACAGTTTTTTTTTTCTTTTCTTTTTTAAATAAGAAAATTAAGCATTCTGCAAGATCATGCATATTTAATGCAGTTTTTAATATGTCCAGTTTTTTTTAAACGGCTCATGTTTCTTTTCTAAAGCAAAATACACACCAGGTTTATTGGATTAAAATCAGGATAAAAGCATGAACTTAACAGATACTGACGCTTAATGGAAACTTCTGGAGCAATACATGACAGTAGAATTTTCTTTATAGTCTGCAGGAATGAAAAATGTTTTTGTTATAGCGTATATATTTATTAATGTAAGATCCACTTGTCTATCTTCTAAGTGACAACTGTACGTGTACTAAGTAAGTGAAGGAACTACACAAGATAAGGGTTAAAAAGTTCCCTTTATTACACTCTTTAAAATTCACAATGCATCGACTTGACCCTAACAAACTACGCCTCACTCGGGCGACAACTCAAATAAAAAGAAATAAAGTAAAAATTCGAAGATATTAACAAGTAGTAGCAATTACTTTACAGGGCTCAGATAAGACTGTTTTTTAAAACCGCGTCGAAATCTAGAGGCAGCCATGTAATAGCTGTTACGCCACGTTAACCAGCAATAACTGCAGAAATAGAAGCTCACGCTACAGAAATGACGGCGCTTGCCTAAACTCTGTAACTTTCCTTTCTAGAACTCAGCATTTAAACCTTTTCAGCTGAAGGTAGAATTTGCATTACTTCACGCGCCCTACCAAATTTAAATATTTTGGCATTGACAAATAGGGTAATGAAGGCTTATAGGAAATAGCATAAACTTAAATTAAACTGGTTATTTAAAATAAATATAAATCCCTACAAATGTTTTATTATATACATTTACTTAATGCATCAATTGTTTTTAATTTATCAAAAAATAGTTTCTGCTCTTCAAAGTGCTCCTAATGGACAGAAATCAAATTATGAAAAGGTATATGTATCAGCAGTACATAAGCTGGCAATTTTTATTATTTTTATACTTTGCATCTGAGTCTATTGAACGCATTACTCACTAAAACGTTAATTTTTATGAAATATCCAAAGAATTTCTACTAATTTATAGGACAAAATGTTTTTGCAATATTGTACAGAAAAATGCAACAGGAAAAGAGTACGAATTTTTAGGTTCATCTTTTATTACGTAACAGCAGTCTAAAATAGTATCTCTTCTAATCAATAGCATCAAATCTTATATAAGATTAGTCATTCAGGAATTAAGTATTAATTACGAATGTTTTTTGTTACTTTTGTAGATGAAAAAAGAGGAAGACAGAACTCCAGAAATTAAAGTTAGTGATCCTCGGAGATTTATTTTCGGTAATATCACTTACGCTTTTAAACTGCATATAATTAAACATCTGTAAAATCTCATCTTACGTATTTTACCTCGTAGAAGAAATTGGCTTCATATCAGTGGAATCCCTAGAATCTCTAATAAGAATGATAAACTCATATCCAGATCTCGGATATGTCAATATGAGTCGCAATCACATGGATCTTGTCAGAGATTATAAGCCATACCAATATACGTAAGCTGTAATTTAATATTCCTAAATATAAGTTTTATTGATAAAATGAAATTAAGCAAAATAAATACATGACAACTGTACGTTTAGAACAACAAACTATTACTCGTACAGAACACTTAGTTGCTGAGACGTTGCAGTTATTTCCCAATGTTGCATTTAGTTATATTTCATTTGTGACCGAGATAAAACGTCACAGAGATGTAGATGTGAATGTCGCATGGATGTCACCTACAGATCACAGCAAGCATTTAATATGACAGCAAGAAAATTCTCACTTTCTCCCATCCTCAGGTTTCTTGACCTTATTCATGTAATTCATCTTTAATGGGAGGTATCCCAGCACGCTGACCAAGCCCTTCCCCGAATATTTGTTAAATGATTCAATAAACCTTTCGAAATGAATTATTTTTATGCTTATAAGATCTGGCCTTTTTAGCATTCAATTATACCAGAACTTGTGATTTTTCACAGTGTCTTATAAATACCACAGAGACGGGGAAAGGGTGTAAACGGCCCTTTATTAATCCAAATAAAGTTTAACAGACGGCACTAACTCGTGCTTACAGAAGCCAATAGCTTTGGCTTTAAATCAAAGATAATGGAGGAACTAAAATTGATGAAATTTAAGCATAATATAACGGCTTCACAATTTAACTATCGCGCAAGCTGGCTCTGACCGCAGACGGCGTAAGCAAGCCAAATGGCAAGAAAAACTCAAAGCTGCAGAAAATGCTTAATCAAAGTCAGCAACTTGGTCTTCAAACAGGCAGAAACACACTCTAATTTCACCTTCCTTCCTTCCTTCTTCCTAATTTGAATATCGCGCGCTCTGGAAATTTACATCCTAGTAGTGAAATGAAAACGAGGCCTAATAGAAAAGTAAATTGACGTAAAATTACTGGTTAGAAACTTAAATGATGCTCTGCATATTAACAAGCTACGATTTTAGTTATTTCTATTTTATTAAAAACATTGATGGTTTATAGCGTGTTTTTACTTGGTATCGTATAGAACTATACTCGGTGATGAATGCCATTCTACTTTATTCAGTGTTATTAAAAGAGGCTGACCAGAAGAGTTTATGTGTAGCATTTTCTTTTTTTTTTGTCCTGATGATTTTTGTGACCATTTTGCATCATTTAAAAGAATTTGGAATTTGAAAGAAGCTCCAAGCGTAATTACGCGTTAATGGCACAATAATGATTTCACAACAACGTCAGTGTGTGACTTCACATTAACGTCATAAAACGACGGCATATAAACATCACAATGTAATGTAACAGAAAGATGACATTAAGCCATACCTACAACGCCAATGTGGCGTTGAAATCGTTACAGTGTGACATGTTTGCAGTGTCATAACGACGTCGCCGTACTATTAGAGTAATTTTTCAAAAGAAGCTAGTAATACTTGCTGTTTGCACATTTTCTCAGCAATGTAAGAATCAATTACTTTAAAATTTGAAGCTAATTATTGTATTTTATACTTTACCTGAAAGCAAAATATCCAAATCCATCCTTTCCTTAAAAATACTAGATTTGGTTATTTTTATTAATCTATCATAGAACAGCCAGCAGCCTGTCTTCAGTTAATATATATTTTTCATTTACTTAAATAAACTTACATTCATCTTAACATAACTTCCTAGATGTTCTTAAACCGCAATAAAGAAATTTCCCTTTGCTGTACCTCAGATTTTGTATTATACTGTCACTTATTTAAATTTTGCAAATGCCTTTATTCACTTATCACTACTCTAGTGATTAAATGTATGACGTTTTCTCCATGCGTAATGCAATCATGAGTAGTAATATTGAATAAAATTAATAATAATAAAAAAAAATTGAAAAGTTTTTAACCGTCGCCCCAAAGAGTTTATTAAGGTTTTTTACGCTCTCGCCGAGCTCGCAGTTCTACCAGTTACACCTCACTTCAACTAAACCTTTTTTTTTTTTGTTTTTTTAGCTTTATTATCAAGCATCATTTTCTTCGCACTTACGCCATACATATTTCAACAGCAAAATTACAAAAATTTCAAAAGCAATATAACGTAATAGCAGTATATGCTTGGAATTCCCGATGTAGCGTTAAGTGTTAGCATACATTTTTCTGTTTTTTCAGTCTTTTCTCAGTTCATCATATCTTGCTAACACGGCTTTACAAAATTTTATTTTTGTCTTTTTATTATTAACGTTTGGTGTGTCTAATTTATTTATTAAATATCACGTTCTTGGCGCTTAAGCCGCATAAAATTCCATTCAACAGCAAAATCACAAAATATATAAACATATACTAAAAACAGCATACATTTAGAATTTCCTATAGACAGTCTTGCGCACTGGAGATAAAAAAGCTTTTTTTTCGTTCAATATTGCCACTACTTGCTTTGAAATTGTTGAGTTTGTTAATCAAAAATTCATTAAAATTTTAGAAAATATGTAATAGATAATAAAATAAACTCGAAATTCAAAATTCGAGTTTCCATCAATTGCGCATGTTCGGTTGGAGGAATACGTTATTCAAAATTTGATGCCCCTAGGTACCCTTGTTTTTCGCAATGCTAGAAATATGCATACTTTGATGCAGATTCTTCATTATTTAATTTCTTTAACAGTTTGAAATGTGATATACCGTTTACAGTGATTCAACGCAAAGTGCCGTTTCAAGACTAATATCCCACTCGAAACTAACGCCCCTTTTCGTCTAAAATGTAAAAGATTTTTTTAGATATTTCTTATACTTTCTATTCTATTCTATCTTCATTTCTTCTATTCTCTTTAGAATCTGCAACTATAAGGATGTCAATAAGTTGAACTATGTAACAATGAGCAGAAATGGGCTTGTGGAGTTCTACAAAGGAGATGCAGATTTTTTGCCTTTAGAAAGACTAACAACGGAGTATGAACTATATAACAATTTAAGACAGGTATAAACCATTTAGATATTCAGTTTAAGTATTTTAAATTAGATCTTTTAGCCTACGTTGATACACAAAGCAAATAAAAATATTTGACCCCCCCCCCAAAAAAAATGGTTTTTGGGCACTATTTTCTCGTTTATGACGAGTGACATTCCAACAATCCATTTGCAAGTTTAAGTCAGGAACCCATTTTTTCTTGATATCTTTGATAAAATATTTATAAATTAGGCTTTTATTTAACATAAAATTGGCTTGAGAATGTATAAACAATTCATTTATACGCATGTGCATTTGCACTAGTTGCATATTCTTTAAAATTAACTCCTAATGTTCCTTTAGTATTAATTAATTTTAACTCCTAATCTTTAAAATTAACTCCTAATGTTCCTTTTAATGTAAAAATGAAAATATACGGAAAAACATCTAAACGTTTTTAATTAAAAATAGTTATTTTTTTGAGAAATTGTTACTAATTTTGGATGATTCATTGCAATTGCGAGTACTTTCTTTAAACAGAGGAAAAAATTCGTCAATGTTGCCTGCTTGGTTTCTTTCTTTCTTTTTTTTTTTCCCCTTACACATTTTGCGATAACATCCAACAGCTTCTCGAGTTTGTTTTTCAACTTTGGTGAAACGATCGATGTTTCAATCCGCATTTGTGGTTAATTGAAGTCCTTGATTTAATTTAGAAAATGCTTCAGGTAATTCTTTTTGTAATCCATAAATAGCACGTATATGTGTATTCTGAACGGAAACGTAGATTTTTTATTTTAGCTTTTGGACGTCGTAAAAGTCAGTCGTCTTAAATCGAGGACACCTTATATAAGAAGGAAAGCCTCTGCTGAAACTTTAGTAAATTTTATTTTGTAATCGTGTTTTCATTGCACCAAAACTGGCCATTTATAGCTAAACAAAAAGCTTGGAAATCGAAAACTAATTTCATTACTTAAATTTAGTTTAGAATAGTATACACTGACGAGCCAAAATATTATGACTATACCTACATATTTCAACGAACTCCTCTGGATGACGTGGAGGGCATGAGATTAAGCGGGAGTGGTATTTAGCGGCTGCTGGAGAAGGTAAAGAATCATTCTTTCACTTACTTTTGCGAGTGACGGGAAAGGCTGCTGATTGTAATGGCTCGAAGACTCGGAACGAATATCTCCGAAACTACACTGCTAATAGATTGTTTACAATCTGCTATTGTTAGTATTTATGCGAAGTGGATAAATGACGGTGAAACCAGTAGTAGCCGCCAAAGTGTTGGACGTCCACGCGTCATCAAAGAAAAAAGACGTCGAAGACTGGCCCGCTTGGCACAATAAAATTGGCGCTAGACACTGGCTCGCTGACACCTCGATATATAATGCAGGTCCAAGTGTAAGTGTTTCGGAACTTCACTTACACTTGGAAGATTCTTCCACTGTTGGATATGGGACTGGGGAGTAGACGTCCTACTCATGTGCTTCTGTTGACTAAGCGTCATTGTCAGCTACGCTTACAGTGGGTCCGGGAACTTCGATATTGCACCATGTATAAGTGGAAGATAGTTGCCTGGTCGGATGAATCACGATTTCTCATTCATCACGTGTCAAGGTACATAGGAGGGTGGTGACGGTATTATGCTTTGGAAACATTCGCATGGGCAACTCTGGGAAGCTTAGTTGTGGCAGAACAGACCACGAAAGCTGTGGACTATCTGAATATAATTACGGATCAGTTGCACCCTTAGATGGCGTCTGTCTTCCCAACTGGAAATTGAATCTTTCAGTAAGACAATGCTTCATGTCACAAAGCTCAAATTGTGTTGGAGTGGTTAGAGGAGCATAAAGATGAATTTCAATTAATGTTCCTGCCCACCTACTTTATCAGATCTCAACCCGATAGAGGATATTTGGGATGTCACGGAGCGGCAGTTCAGAACTCAAATATCACCGTGTCAGAATACCTGGACTTGGTATGACGCTGCTTAGACATGTGGTACAACCTGTCTCAATAAGAGGTTGTGGCATCCATGTTAAGGCGAGTTGCAGCTGTTTTGCAGGTCGAAGTTCGCACAACGCGTTATTGAGTAGGTAGTCATAATGTTTTGGCTCTTCAGTGTATAAGTGGACAGAAATGCTTGTCATTTCCTTGCCACATGCCAATTTATAATTCCAGTCTATTCGTATTAAGAAGATACCTTTTCACTTAATTCACACCCATAATCACGTTAAAAAGGTATTTAGTCATTTAATGAGTCACGTTTTGTTTTCATTATATAAATATTCTGATCAAGACGCCAAAGTAAAATAAAGATAACTCACATAATTAATTACATTGCAGTATGCATTCTAATTTTTACGTTATAATGGAAACTGTATCCACCAAAAGCCTTCATGTTTTAGCACTTTTGAATTTTAAAAAGATCAGTTTTGTAAAAATTATGAAAGCTAACTTTTATACGGTCTCCGGGTTCATATAATTATGCTTATGAAATTTTTATAGTGAGTGTAAAAAAATTAATGCAAAACGTGTGACACCCATACATCAAAAACTGACATAGGTTATTAATTTTAAAGTTTGTGATCATATTCAACTACATTTCATAAATTGAAGAGAGAAATGTTTCTAAAATTTTTTATTTAGGAAAAAAATGTGTCATGTTAGCAGATTAAGTGAGAGCATTGCTACGCAGATTTTGATGAAAAGGATTGATTAATATATTTTTTTTCAAAAAGCAACTCTTATTCAGAAAATTTTAAAGAATTAGAATACTGAAAGGTTTCAGCGTTAACCCATAGCCAAATCGTGACAATATTTGTATAAATTAAAAATAAAAAATATTTCTGGTTTAAATGAATTTTTTGTGTGATTATTAGATTATAATCCTAAAAAATAAGATTTCGTGAGAATACTAGTGACGTATTTTTAACCTTTGAAAATTTATAAATTACTTGCGTGAAAATTGTTTCGGCTTAACATTTGGAACAAACTTATCAATTAAATAATATTACACAGGTGTACCGGTGAGAGCAGAGTCCCAACACTTGGGCGGCTTTCATAGGCCATTCGGGTAACGTCCGGATCTGCCAAATGCCTTGATTTGAACCCTTCCTGGGCCCCTCAAGGACTACATCGGGAGTTTATTTTATAATCATAAATTTAAGAGAGAAAAATGGATGCCGAGTTATTCTAATTTATTTTTTAACCTGCCCACTTTTTGTGTTTAATTTTTTACAATGAGCATAAATATTTCCTAAATGTAAATATAGAACAGACTGCATAAAAAATTGTATTTTGTAATTGTTATAAAACAAATTTTTAAATTCTAAAATACGATACTTGAATATTTGCGTCATTTAAAACATTTACGTAATTGTAAGTATATCTACGATCAGCGGAATAATGCGGACTCGGTGTATATACATACGAAAAAGTCCTTAAACATCGAAATAACTTTTGCAGAAAATGTCAATCACTTTCTTTAATAACCTGAAATAGATGCCATGCCAATTATGTAACTATTTGACGTTTATCTTTCTACACTGATGTATTTCTGAGTTGCCTATTCTAATTGCATTTACCTTATAGGCTCATTCTTTCTGTACCATGTAATTATTTCTTTAAGAGCTCTTCGTACAAGTGCTTTTGCCATTTATAATTCTATATTAATCTTCACGGTTGCCTATTCTAATCCCATTTCCCTTATGTGCACATTCTTTCTGCACCATGTAATTCTTTCTTTCAGAAATCTCTGTACAAGTGAGTCTGACGTTTATAATTTCTGTATTAATGTATTTCTTAGTTGCCTATTCTGATCTCATTTACCTTGTCTGTTCATTCTTTCTGCACCATGTAATTCTTTCTTTAGGGTTTTTTTTATTATGAACCTGCACGCATCTCTCGAACATCTGAGCTCCTAACACAAACCTATTTACTTTGAAGTAAACCTACGTTATCTCATCGGCACGTTCAGCTTTTCATTTCTTCGTATCCTCTCAAGTGTGAACTATCACAGTAAAGAACTAATTTTGAAACTTAGTGTTATAAGGTATTTCTCCCGCCTTCTTAGCATGCTTTCGTGGTATAGTGGTCAGCACGCTCAACGAGCTTCCGAGAGGTCCGTGGTTTGAGTCCCGGCGAGGGCATTGCTCATTTTTCATCTTTCCTGCTTCGAAATAACCTAATGTCTCTACAGTTTATGCATAAATCATTCGAACCTGTGAATTTCGACAGATACTGGGCCTCGTGAACGAGTACTCTGATGATTACAAAGCGTACGTAGAAATAACTTTTGAACACACAAAGCTAGAACAAAAAGGACAAATGAGTGTCCGAATTAAAAAAATGTTTGAACGAACACACTAGTTGCTCAAATAATATTTTTCCGTTGACTCGATTATTTCCAGAACTGATTGGCAGATTTTAATGAAATTTGGTTTTGACATAGATTGATATAATTAAAAAAAGTATACTGAACACTTATGGCACACATGCCATGATCTTGCATAAGTCTTATTGCCACAATATAATTTAAGACGACGGTTGCAACAGCGAACAAAATGGATGCTGCTAGGGAGTATGTTCCCACCGAACAGTCTCTTACAATATGACTTCTTACTGAAAATGAACTATTTACGAGTTTCTGTGGCAGTCGCCCCACTCCTGTGGCAATATTGTTTTCATAGCCAGGCGAACTAGCTAACAAAGCCGTGTGGTTAATATCCTCAACTTCTAGAAAATCATGCATCAGACCTATGTGAACTTGCATAATCATCTAGAAAAATGAAATGAAGGCAATTGCACATCTAAGAAGGAGAACATAAGGTTCTAAGATCTCTTTTCTATACATCACAACAGTCGCAGAGCCTCTGTGAGCCAAGACATGAAGGACTGCGTTTCCGTCTAACACGATGCCTGCATCAAACATCTGCTGCCATATTGGTCGCTTTCTCGGATGCTGGATGACAGGTATCGAGTTTTTGGCTCACTCCAGATGAAGGTAAGTCGATAATCAGTGGTTAAGCTGAATCAGAACTCTTATGCGTACAGAATAGTTCTCTAGCCTGTTTAAGAGACTCATAAAGTGTCTCTTTCCATTCTGAAACCATATTGTAAGAGTTATATATTCCTATACTTTCTCTTCGTATGACTGAACCCGGAAATAAAACAAAATAGGAAATGAGACTCTATAAAAGTCACAACGTTTATTAATCTTAACAATAAGAAAACGAAAAAAAAAAAAAAAAAAAAAAAAAAAAAATGATGATCCGCAGCTCCGTTAGACTTATACTAAGGCCAGCATTGGGCTTTCTGCAAATTACAGCAATACAGCCATAGCAGCTTGGCTATTTCTAATAACAGCAAGCAGCTTGGAATTGATTGCGAAGAGAAATACAGGCATGGCTCCCAAGCGGCACTCCTCATCACTCCTACCCTCAAGAAATGGATTCGTGACTCTTAGGCAAGAGAATTAACGTTTACGAAGCTCTGGAACACGGTTTGAGAAGTCCGAACTTTAGCTACATGGACAAACTCATGTTATCCTGAATATACCTCTCCACTAGCCTTCTCAATGGCTATCCAGATTCGGCCAATCCTTTGTCCATTTTGATTTAGAGTGCAAGGTATGTAGTATTTCAAGCCCCGTTTCTTCCGAAATCTGTTTTATGTGTTGCAGCAGATTCTGCTTGGAACGAAGATCTTGAAGACTGGTGCAGCTATAATCGGGAACACCTGCAGTGGTTTCACCTGCAAGGAAATGAAAATGAGTATGTATGTACATCTAAACTTTACACATCTGAAGTAATGGAAATCAGACACTTAAAATTTAAAACACCTCTATTTCTGCAAGTAATATAACCAACTTCTCAAGTGTGAGTACAATCTCTCCTATCACTGTTCTAAGATGAAACTTAAAAGATTTAATTTCGCCTTCCCATGTATAAGATTTCATTAATTCCGCTTTTCCATATACTACTGAAGTGTAGAGAGGCAGGAGGAATCGTACGCCACTGAATAGAGAAAGTGGCCAAGAACCATTAAATTCTTCTGACGCAATTTTCTTTTCGCTGAGATAAAATTAATCGCGTTATCACTGAAAACGTGTTTCGATACACCGCAAACCTCTTCGACCAATAAAGAAATAAGTTGTTAAAATGTGATTCAGTTTAATGGTGAATAGCTTTTGTTGCCATACAAACGAATAATGCAACATAACCCTCACTATTTCTGCACTTATCGGTCCTGCGTAGTCGATTCTACAGCTGCAAGATAGCCTTCTAAGGCTGCTATCACAGGTCGGTTTGTTTCGGAAGAACAACTGTTTGGAACAATTTTTCTGCTGTTCACCATAGATCACTTTGGAGTTAACACAAGGGAAACTCGTTCCCCATTACAAACAAGCTGATAGCTGATTGATTGAAATGAACAACTTGCAATTTTTTTTGGAAAGGAAGGAAAAAGTCGCACGTCTTTCTTTCAATAGTAAACCAGGCAGAAAAAATTGTCCGAAATAGTTGCTCGTGTGAAACAAACGCCGTGTGATATGGGCCTAATTGTACCCTACATCTTGGTAAGTTGCCCATTACTTGAGTAGAAGTATTCGATATGTAGCTAATACAAACTACCCACTTCACTCTAAAACTTTAATCAGCTATTTTGCTACAATAGTGTAGTAATTTTGCTTTAAAATGTGATTTAGCACTGTAGGTCCTGTATGTAATTATACGTACTAATATGACACTGCTTAATCAAAAGCTCAATCTACTAGAAGTTGAAATTATTAATGGATGCTCTTAGTATTACAATTTAGTGTAGAATGCTGAATACGACCTCCCACCTATAGCCTTTTTTTCTCTTCGATCTTGCGGCCGTGTTTTAAACCTTCTTGCACAGATGAACGTTACATGCAGTCATGCGTGCGTATCATGACTATTGCAATGACGTATGTTACCATACACGCTCACGTAATGTCCGCACTTTTTTTTACCAAACTTACATCACTAAAATGCGGGTGCAGACATTACACAGATCGTTCAAATGTCGCATTTGAACGATCTGTGTAATGTCTGTGTAATATCTGTGTAATATTGATTGAATTGCTGATATATCAATATTGATGAATAAACAGCCTTATTTATATCGAAATACATATGAGTATTATAATGGTTATCATTTCTCATCATATATTTTACGCACGTTTATTTATTTAATGCAACAATTGCTACAGCAGCTTTTGTTTAACTAAAAATCGCATATCCAAGATGCAAAACATTATACAAGAGGTACCCAAATGACAGTGGGACTGTGATTCTAGCGCTGTTCTTTCGAATGGTAAAACTTTCAGATCTCTCTGGTAGATGGCTGTATATATCAGGAGAAATCTGGTTCAAAGCATCAGCGGCAGTGTATCATACGAATATCATAACAGTGAATGAGTATATAAGGGAGTGAAATAGTAGTAATATAACAAGAAACATCGTGTCATGTATTCCTCTAAGCAGGCTGAGTGCATAATGATCCTTTTTTTCCCCCCTTCCTTGGCTGAAGGTGTTATGGAAATCGACATTTAAACCAAATAAGGAAAGTGTATGGGACTGTGTGTATGTTGTTTAGTGCAGTTACATACCACAACGAGATCACTGAATCATCATTGAACAATCAGTTGCTGCAGTGGATTCCCTTGTGAAGAAGAACTGTCTTCAATCAAATAGATGGCAACTTATAGCTGTTTTAGGTTGCAGTCAGTTACCTTCAGAAGAAACGAAATCTCTAGTAGTATGGATCAGATTATCATGGAAAGAAGCTTTCATTGTTTGGACTAAACCTAGTTTGCCATTTCTTTCTTTCTTTCTTTTTTTTCTTTCTTTCTTTTTTTTTTTTAAGAAAAGACTGTTCGAAATGTGTGATTATTCATTTTTCAGTCAGCTGCGAAGAGGCTTAAAATATAATAAAAGTTCATTATTAAATCAAAGAATATAAAAGCACCTACACTGAGTCATAGAAAACTTGTTGGTTTAAATGAGAACAGTTTGTATTTTTTATGTTGATTCAATATTGCCTTTAGAATATTTAATAAAATCCTCCTTTAACACAAAAGGTGAAGATTACAGTTCGTACTCATACCCTCTAGTAATATGTACGAAAGTGTTTATAACTTGCTTAAGAATTTAAGCATAATATGAAATTACATGCGGTACTTACTTTATGGAAAATATAAGCTATTAATTTTGTTATGCTAAAATGTAATCAGTTTGAATTTCAAAGCAGTATCAATAATAATGAAATATTTATTTAGAAGTAAAACAACAAAAATCAGCGTTATATTTTCTAATCTCCCCAGGACTGGTTTCGATGGTTTTACCGAACCAAAAACGGTGGTTCGGTAAAACCATGGAAACTAGTCCTGGGAAAATTTGAAAATATAACGCTGATTTTTGTTGTTTGACTTCTGAATTAATATTTATATAGAACTTGAAGTAATATGTGAGGTAGCTTAAATATTTATCCAAACATTTTAATATTAATACTGAAGCAATAATATTTCAATCTATTTAAAAACAGATCCACTAACCAAGAAACAATTTCAAGAACATAAAGCTTGCTTAAAAGCATTTGTTGTTTTATAGATACCGTCTTTTCGCACATTCTGCTTGTGGAAAGCATTCATGGTGTGGTTTAAGAAGATTCGAAGAAGGAAATACAGCGAAGCAAGAGAAAAAATTGAAGCATTTTACATAGATAAATATGGTTCTTGATCTATATGTGAAATAAGATCAACTTGGAGAAAACATTCCATATGTTTTTTTTTGGGGGGGGGGAGGAACTCCAAACAAATAAAAATATTTAAATGAAATACCGCTTTACGCATGCAGTAATCTGTGATAACACTATGGATGGAAAGAATCTGTGATAACATTATGGATCCAACGTTGAGTTCTGGGCTAAACTGGGCGTATTGGCCACAAAGACTCGAAACATTGCATATGATTCATTTTTTCAGTAATAAGTCATATGTAATGTTTCAAGATGCTTCAAAGGTGGAAAGACCAGTTCTTACCAAACTTCTTCCTTTTCTCGATGTTGAAGATGAAGCTGAAAGATTGCCATTTCCCCACCATAATATGATCCAGCATGAACTGCAAAAAGTTATGGACTCACCAAGGCGGCGCTAAGTATTTTGTCGCTTGGTGCAATCTATGCTTGTCCTAAATTCTGATGCTGGGCATTTTAAATTACGGCATTGCACGGCAAATTCTAAAAATTTTACCGGCTCTAAATTCTGCTGCCCAATGCCTCCTCTAAATGCTAAAAATTTTGCCATACCTATATCTTCCTGCATGTTACTTGTCTAAATTATAAAAACTTCACCGCCCGATGCGACTACACAGGGTTGCACTGGTTCTGACGCAGTACTGCGAATCACTCAAAATCACTTTGAAGTCACATTCCAGTTATGACAAGGAAGCTGGGATTATGCACTGCTCGGCAAGACAACTATTTCAAAGGAGGTGACGTTCAAAACTTGAAAGTAATATACTTTTTTGACAACAGAATTAGTCTGTGAATATTTTTATTTACCAGCCAAAAAATGCAATGATATGTTTTATATTTATAATAATGTAACAAAAAAAAATTTACTATTTAGAGTTCTAACAATCTTGGAAAAGATGTGACTCCAAAGCATGTTTTTACAATAACTCATACATTTATTTCCTTTATTTAATGCAATATTCATATTAGCATATTTAATATTGTTCACATAAAAAATTAAACTAAGAGGTGTTTTGGGATTCTGTCATTCTAAAATTGCGCACTTTACAAATTAAAAGTATGATTTATATATGATGAAGCCAAGGGCACCGCCTTAGATGGGTGAGCTCCAACTGCGCGAATGAAAATCCTCCCCATCCTGCTATAGTCCAACTGTGCGAATCACAATTTATTTCCCCCGTTGCCTATAGGGTTACAATTTAACTTTTCAAAGCCAATTGTAGCCAAGAGGAAAATAAAAATAAAGAAATAGAATTAATTCCATATCAACAATCAGAAGAACAAGTAAAGAATATCTAACAAGCAGGCTAATTACTTGAATAACAGTAATAAATGGGAGAGCTAACAAAGAAAATAAAAGGTATTGGTAAAATACATATCAGCATTACAAACATCTTTCATTTATGATAATAATATCATAAATTAAATAATTATAAAGCATACAAATTATATTTTTAATAAATTACATCAATAATAGTCAAGATGTTGAACTAGACTGGAAAATTTAATAGAGTGCAAAAAATTATTCCATATCAAAATGTATTAAAGTGTGCGAAAATAGAAAATTTTTCGTTAATTAAAGCAATCATGTAAATGTTAGCAGAAATTAATAGTTAAATTTAAAAAAAAAAAAAAAAAAAAAAAAAAAAAAAAAAAAAAGCTTAGCAGGAAATTTATTATAACAACATTACTATGCGTTTGGATCACTGATGTATAAATTGTAAATAAATTTAAATTATTATGCTAAGAAGTTTTTCTAAAATTAATCTAGAAGAAAAGAATTAAATAAACAGTACTGCAAATTAATATAATCAATCAGGCCTCTCAATAAATAAAAACTTATTTTTTTACCAAAAACTAAAAATTAGGATGCAAAAGTTTGTGTAATATACTTGGAAATATCTGAACATATAATTAGTTAGAAACATACAATTAAATTAATAACAAGCTAATTAACAGTAACATTAAGCTTAATTTCGTTCAATCTAAAACAAGCAATCGATCAAGAGCTCCACATAACTGAAGTTTTATTGCTATTTTATGTAGATTTGGGTACAAAATAAATATTTGCACTTGTGAAAGAAGTGAATAATATACTGATAGTCAACAGGAATTAAAATATAGTGGTTAAAAGTATAACTGCTTGTCAGAAGGTATGCAAAGTTACCATAGCTACAGAAATTGAATGATTATAGAATTGAATGATATCCATATAAACTCTATGCTTTTGGAAAAGGTTACATATAATTTGGACCGAGGTACCAAACGTCGAATGAGAGTTAATTTCTTTCCTTATTTTTCTCTTATTAAAGGGATTTGTACAAATATATGCTAAAGTAAAGGTGAAAATTTTTGCCATATTTTTAAAGAATAAATTAAAAAAATATTTTTTCTCCATGAACTGAAATTTTTACGATACATTTTTACACAGTAAATAAGTACAAAAAAAGGATTTCTGGGATTAGAAACTCAGGTCGAACTATCAATGTTTAGTGACTTTTCCGCTTGATCATAAGACCTTTTAAAATTAGGCTGAACAATATATTAAAGAAAATAGAAGATACAGCACATATAAGAACAGAAGTGGGCTGAATTAGAGATTTACATGTTTGGTGAAAGAGTTAAACTCATCTGTATGCCATTATGAAATATTAGGAACTAGCGACCCGCTCCGGCTTCGCACGGGTATAAAATATATAGCGTATGTCACTCGTTGAAAAACGTATAAGATACGCATTCTATTAAGTTTTACGTATAACGTCACAATAAAAGATACGTATTCTATTAAGTTCTTTTTCTGAACTTACATACCTCACCTTAAATTACGATTTTTGAAAATAATTTCCCTAATATTAAATTGATTTAACTCTAAATTTTAACCAAGATCTTAATAGAAAATTCCAATCCATAAATTATGGTTTTATTTAATCTAATCTTATCTAACCTTATGTACTTATAATTACTATAAGTGCGATTTAAAAATTAACCTTAGAATAGAATATCATTTATATTTTAAAACTACTATCATACAATTATTTATCGTAACTTACTTAATAACTGATACGTTGTCGTTATTATGAAGTAAATAACTGATACGTTGTCGCGCTGAAAAAGCACGTTTTATTAAGTATATTGTTGTTTTCCTCGCTAGAGAGCTCCGATAATAAACGCGCCCGATCGCTGCTAAATTCAAAGTGCTATAGGGAGAACCGCGGCCTCCGACGTGCTATTTATAGGCACGCTCCCGCCATCCCGGCCGGCCGCAAACGCTACGTCCCGCAATTTTTAAATCTGTAGACCTTTTCAATGTGTACAATACTTAGTACATTATTTTGATAAATCTTGTATAGTTCAGCCTGCGTTTGCGATGTAAGCGGAAAAAATTTAATTATTTACGACATCACATTAGAAACTTAAAAAATAAGTATTTCTCCTCTATTTAATGGACTTTATTATACATATAAATCTTCCTCTTCAATCACTCTATCTATTAAAAAAAAAAAAAAAAAAAAAAAAAAAAAAAAAAAAAAAAAAAACGTATCAAAATCCGTTGCGTAGTTTTAAAGATTTAAGCATACATAGGGATATAGGGACAGAGAAAGCGACTTTGTTTTATACTATGTAGTGATGTAGCATAAGAAAAGCATCAGCAAAGAAGGCAATGGCAATTTAAATCATTGTAATCTAAATGTATAACATTATCAATATCTGTTATTAATTTCAATATTGCTGAAAAAATTATAAATGAATTCTATTATAAATCACATGAACTTGTTGCATTATAAATTACAATAGTTAGAAATATTATTAGCGTGATTTAGCGACCATCTTTGTTAACAAATAATTTCAAATAATTAATTTTACAAATAATTCAGCCTGAAACTAGATTAGAAAATAAGCTGCATGCTGAAGATTAAGCTTTACCAAGGTGTTAGAAATATCTTCTCTTAACTAGAGTTATGACGCAAGAATTCCGTACAATTTCCCCTAAACTATATGATAGATTGTTTTTCTCCTTTTAATGCATTAGCTATTATCAGGGACAAGTTAAGCCAGCTGCTAAAAGTACCCCTGGCGGTGAAGCTTTTGGAGCCCTTAAGAAAATATTTGTGCACCCATAATGCTTGAAACGCAAATTGGGCTTACATAATAAATAATTTTAAATGCACAATTACTTAATATTTTAATAAAATCATGGTTTAATGTTACTATTTCTAAATATCTTTATATTATTTTCTCTACATATCAAGATTAAAATACATAAAAATTAAAATTATATCAAGAAATTAAATATTCTGTGGGAAAGAAACATAAAACACCAAATTGCTAAAACATTTTATGGAATATTTTACAATTTAAGCAGTTGATTATTAGATAAGTTGTGTATCAAGTAGCAATTTAATAGGTTTTTCCCCCTTGCCTTCCTTTTAGCAAATTCCTCAATTATTTTGAATAACAGATGTTGTTAAAGCAATACAAGTGAAAGGTCATTAGCTGATTAGACCACTAATAACGGAAAATAAAGATTAACGTATTTGCAAGATGCATGCTCATATTAATACATTTGAACATGAAAAATAAACTGATATGATAAGAAAATAGCTTTTGCAAATAGACAAATGTATAAAACCTAATATAATTTTTGATTTGCAATGGGAAAATTACAATGTAATATTTCATATTCTATATTCTAAGATTATTTATTTTCTGTTTTAAAATTTCATAGTCTAATTCTGTATAAGTCTATATTTGGTACTGTTATAAGCTAGTTTTCCACAACTCTTAAATGTAAAAGTCCATCAAAATTCTTATAATTATAAAGGTTAACACGTACCTACATTATGCATACAAAATAAATAAAAATGTAATTTTGTATGGGGAATACATATTAAACTCGTACATATGTATAATATGTTAATTAAGGAGGTTTTGGTAAGCTTTTGAATTTTCAATAATTTACATAAATAAAATACAAATTAATGGGAAACTCTTACATAATATTTCTTTTCTCTTTAAAAATTTACACTCGTCCTTGCCATTTAATGAAAACCAAGCTCTTGTTATTTAAACAAAATTCAAAAATACATAAAATAACAATTGTAAGATAGTATTCCACTTAATATTTTTACACATTAAAATAAAAATATTTAGTTATTTTTATATCTGGTGGCTGGAACAATATTAGAGTTGATTTGTATGCTTGAAAACTGATGCATCTTATTTTTCAACTTATATATTATGTGCTCTCATCTCCTTAAAAATACAATAAAACGACCTGCAGATGTGATTGATTAGGGTTTCATGAGAAAGAAAAAATAGAAAAAGCAAGGCTTATTAAAATGCATATTAGTGTTTTTGGACTTTTTAACACTTGACGAAATAAAGGATTTATCACCATCATTATAAAGAAATAATATTAAAATTATATCACTTAGTTTCCTGTACAAGTCGATTATATTTATAGGCATGAAAAAAAGGATAAAATGCCAGTTCTCTAGAAATATTAAATTTTCAATATAAATGCATTTTGACCCATAATCACAGGAATCTCTCCTCTGCAATGAATTCACTTCTGTATGCCATATTAAAAGCACTATTAAAAGCACCGTATGCCATATAAATGCATTTTGACCCATAATCACAAGAATCTCTCCTCTGCAATGAATTCACTTCTGTATGCCATATTAAAAGCACTTAAGGAGTATGTTTTTTAAAATATAAAGGGTCCATGATGAGTTTTATTAGAAAACGCTAATACAGACAAAAGCAGTCACCACAGAATTTTATCGTGTTTATTTTTGATGCAAGTAGCAGTGCACATTTGGAAGAAAAATTTGCAGCAAAGATGCATTATATATTCCCTCTGAAGAATCATTCATTACTATTCTATTGACATAAATGTTAATAAACTTGTAGCAAAATATTATTAAGAAAAAAATATTTTTTATATGTACTACTTTAACACGGATTACACCATTGTAATGGGAAGGATAACTAAAAGATGGTATCAGGAATATACAGATTAGATTTTATCTAAAGTGATAACATTAACATCAGAAAGAATTTTTTAGTGTTATTAATCCAAGCTAAATTGAAGGAACTTTCAGAATTAAATATTTTTTCTTAAATGCAGTAACTTTTTAAACAGTATTTAAACTGAAATGTTATCTCATTCGTGAAAGATATTCAAGCATTATTTATATTAAATGATTATACTTACCAATTTAACAACTGATGAATAGTAACAATGATTTTCGCCAAAATAAACACTAACAAAGCCATATATGATGTACCACTCAAGCTACATTAATCTTTTCAGGGGCAGTATATAAAAGAATTTAAATTGTGGTAAAATTTTACATGAATTCTAACTAATGGACCCCAAGAACACACAAGTGAGACTTAAAAAAAAAAAAAAAAAAAAAAAAAAAAAAAAAAATCTAGAGTGAAATCCTGAATTTTGAGATATGGTATATATGTTATACTGCTGCCTGTTTAGGTACTTTTTTTCCATGTTAAAATTTTTGCTTTTTAAATTTACTTTTGCATACTTTTGATACATCTTTAGAAATGAGTGCTTGAACATAGTTATGTAAGTCCTAAGTCAAAATTTTCTAATATTTCTCTAGAAATTAAAAATTTTACGAATAAAATTAATTTTTTTAGGTACTTTGGTGATGACACCGGTTGAACATATTTATGTAAAATATGTGTTTGAAAGCGATTTAAATTCAATATTATTATTTTATCAGAAAAGTTAGCAAATATAGCACTGCACAAGTAAAACGTATCATGCTCTAACTGAACTAGTATAATGTTAGATGGAAATGTAACTCAGCTGAAAAATAAAGTGCTACCTAGTCTCTCACCTAAAATTAACAAAGACGATCCCCTATAGCATAAAAGCATGCTTTCAAATCAGCAGATTTTCCATTCCACTACCAGGCGAATACCTAAAGTACATGCCTATTTCCGGTGTTTGTGAGTGAGCTACCCTTTTGTATGATCTTAGTAAAAAACCCCTATGGTTTGTGTGATCTTATCTACATTCCCCCTAATTTGACAAATTAGCAATCAATCACCTCTTTTCATTTTCACTGTGCTCTAGGATTTTGGTATACAGGAAACGACAGGTGTCTTTCAGGGATAACATGCTGCATTTAACCCCTAAGTTTTGATGCCAGAGGACAACTTAAAAATCAACGAGTTTGTTTCAGGGAAAAGGGTGATGTGGTGAAATTAAAATTTTAGCACTAAACAAAGATGAATGAAAACTCGGCTGAAGTAGACAAAGCATAAAAAGAAACTAAAATAATTTTATTCATTCCTAGCATAAGGTCATTAAACTCCCCATGAACATATTTAATCTTACACAACTTTTTAAATTAATCATAAACAATTACTATAGAAATAAATTCTGTCTCCCCACAGAAAACAGGAGGAGAAGCCTGGTGCTGCCATCTATTGGCATGGTACCCTCAGTATGGGTGCTAGTACACTGGTATTAAAAACGTATAAATAATCTTCTTTTAATTATCAGTTTTGACTGAAATGCAGTAAATATATGAGGTTCAGCATATGTGCACATTTAAAGATTTTGAATTTTTTCCACCCCTTCAATAGAATTTATGAATATTCAAACATGATACCTTTGAACGATGTATATTAATTTCATAACTGCAAAATATTGAGAATTCATAGGGTAGTTGTGCCATTTAGAATCAAAAGGAAACATTAGACACACAAGATTACAGCTTTTAATGTAAAAAAAAATTAGTACTTTATAGGAGGTTAAAAAATTGACAATTTGCCCATATATATTATGCACCAGCGTCCTCTAAAGGGTTAAAACAATGGATCCAAATACTGAAAAGAGCACCACTGTTTAAAATGTTACCAGCCAATGTGACAACAGTATGATTTACAACAGGTACTGTTAGCTTTACATAAAATTTAATCTTAATTTTAAAAAAAGGAAGGCCACTTACTGCTTAACAGCTCATCAGCAATTGCCAGCAAGTAATCTTCGGTGATACTGTCAGACAAAAAACATTTAGAAATATTTCACAGCAGTCACTTCTGTAATAGTATCTGAAACTGACCAGTATTTCATGGAAAATGAATAAACAGACAAATTAAAAACAGTAATGATAGTAATTTTTTCGAAGGTTCATCGCCTCTATAGGAGTGCAAAATTGTTTGGAATTCAGGCAGCCATTTTTTCAACCTATATTTTCTAAGAACAGAAAAACACAAGTGGATAGGAGAAGCGGCAATAATACATTTAAAGGCTAATTTCATAAATTTAACAAGTGTTTTTGAAGCAAATTATTCATTAAATTTCTAAAATGCAATTACTGTCTACTTTGAAACACTCTTTGATTTGATAATTTCATGAAAGCACAAACTTAGAAATCATCATTTTATATTACCTGCCAGACATTTTTATAGCAGTACTTTATGATTACTAGCATACTTAAAATTTCTAGCTTTAAAACAACACTGCAATATTACTTCACAATCTATAAAAGCTATGCAGTATTTACTCCAAATGGATATTCAGTTACTTCTTTTAATTGATAAATATAGTAGAATGATTTACCAATGCATCTATTGCAAAAATAAGATTTTTCCCCCTTTTATAAGAACATTTTTTTTTTTTAATATTAAAAGTGTCAATGTCATAAAAAAAATTTCACAGTTTTCTTATTCAAGTCCAATCAATAATGTGTTATAAATTCAAAACACTATTGGGGGGGAAGTTATACAAAGAACTTGTGAACAATGTACTTGAAACAATAGTGAATAAATATGATTACAACAGCATTCATAAAAAAATACAGTCAAAAGTCGTTAATTCGGACACCCATAATCCGGACCTCAAAGCTACAAACTTTCTGCGCATGTGTCAACTTGACGAATGTGCGTAAGACCTTTACGACTGCGAATATGGGTGTGCGTGTGTGCAAAATACGTTTACGAATGCACATTTAATGTATAACGGACAGTATAAGCTAAGCTAAAATTATCTAATTCAGTTAATGTTGCAGATTGCGTTGTTCCTTAATCTTCGAATTGGATCTGGCTTATTATTTTTTGTAGACTGTTAGAGCAATTTTATAAAATTAAGCTTGAACTTTCGACATGTCAAATAGAATTTCCGATATATATTTACTAATACGTAAAGCGAAAGTATGTTTCAAAGTCCATTAAACAAAAGTGAAATTGCTGCAAAAAATGGATAAAGGCATATCCTTTGTTTATCTAAACTTTGTTTATCTTTAACGCCACGGCGTGCAATAAATTGGAAGTTGATCCGTCAGCACTATCCTTATCCTTAGGGCAGATGTTTTTATTCTATTTGGCTTATAATTTCTTACTAAATGTAGTATTTCATCTGGATGTACTCCATCTTTGATATGATTTAAATCAAATTCCTCATCATTATAAATCGCTTCCGATAGCGAGTAAGTGACAGAGGTTATTGAAAACGAAAAAATTTCGATTGACAAATTAGTCGGTATTCTCGACACAGCAATTATAGGACTTGAACAGCGGAACTTTGTAACTGAACAAGAAATGATGTCTGTTTATAGAATTAAAGAGAATGTATTATCACATAAAAAAGGAAGCAACTTAAACAACTTACATTGAAATAAATGTTTAATAAAGTAAACAAATATATATTAAGCTTTTTTTTTTTTTGTAAGTTTTGATACCCTTTAGATCATAATTGTTCTTTATTTCATAAATTACGGTTTCATATTTTTAATTTTATAATTTCTGCATGCCATCTTACCAGATTTAAACTGATGATCTATAATCCGGAATCGCCGAAGTCCCGACGAGTCCGGATTAACGACTTTTGACTGTACTGCTGATTATTTTTATTTTACAATATCATTATTAATTAACTGTTAATAATTACATATGTTTAATTGAAATTAATAACTGTTATCAATTGCATATATTTATTTATAATTATTTATGTTTTAGGGCTCTGCTCCCAACCTCCAAAAACAATTATATGCATGCAAGTGATAATATATTACACTCATACTAATGGTAACCTAAATGCTATTGTACATTATTAAAATCAACTGATGAATATTTTTTTATCATAAGGCAGTATGATATTGAAAGATAAAGTTATCATTAATTTTGATATAATACTAAATTATTAAAGATTACAAAACAAAAAATTAATTTTTTTATTTGCATACTTTATAAGAATTTTTATACATCAAGTGCTGAATTTCATTTTACAAATATCCACATAAATGAAATCGGTGATAATGCATCCAGATAAAATAATTTATAAAATAGGGAAAATAATACAATAAAAGCATATTATAAAAGCAAGTTCATAAAAAGCATAGTTTTTAAATAAAAAAATAATAGTAATTAAAAAATAATTACTAAAATAATAGTACTGTATAACAGTAGTTAGTATACATAGTTCAATAAAAGTCTTCATCCGTTTTTGTATTCTTATTCTTTAAATTTTGAATCTGTTCTTGTTTTTGATACATTTCTGCAATCTGAAAGATAAAAAATTGATTGTATCAACATTTTAAAATGAGTAAATTATAATATTTCAATAAAAGAAATAAAATGTCAGAATTTATGCAGTTGTTTTCTTGTTTACCTTTTTTTTGTTTGTCAACTTTTTAGTACTTAATGCAATTTGGATTCACTTTTTGTTTTAGTATTAAATATTGTTTTGTACTTTACTATTATAATGTATTTCGGAAACAAAGCTAGGTGGAATTCGGACCTTCTTACAAAATAAAAGTGAGATATATGAAAATATTTCTGCAGAAACAGGACAAAGCATAAAATTCAAATGCTCTTTGTTTCATCCTTTTAGAGCTTCATACACTGAAAATTATATTCATATTTGCTTAATGATTCCTAACTACATCCTACATCTTAAATTAAAGAAGTGCATCATTTCTAAGAAAAAAGCAACTGTACTTATGTACCTCAGCAACAATGTTAATAACAAGATATATAAAAAATAACTAAAAAAATGCTTATCACAGATGAAAATCAAAAGAAATTTCCTTTCTTTTCCTGCAACAGCTTGAGCTTAGTGTATTTGGCAGCCTTCGCAGAAATTCTTTTGCTGCCCCCCTCCGAAAAAGCTATATTACAGCTTGTTAAAACCCACTAAAATGAATGAATCTTCTGGTCCTGTCCAGTTTCCTATACACTTTACATTATTTTATAGTAGTGTTCTTAACCTGTTTCACCCTTTTACCAACCTTACTTTGTTACTGTGAATGAAAAGTATTTAATTGTGTCTTATAAAACATCCTATTTAGTTGGAGAAAATCTAATGTTGCCGGCTGCTATTAAGATGTTCAAAATAATTCATGACATATCTAAACGACAAAGCCACAGACCACAATACATTAAATGGATGAGCTACGAAAACCATTGATAGGCAGAAGTAGAATAATTTAGCATTGAAGATTCAGTCTTTTGCCAATCTGAGTTCAATCAGATTGGCCAAAGTTCAATAAACGGTGTTTTTTCTATGAGTTTTCTAGGAGTATCTACGAATTTAATAAGGAGGTCTATGAGTTTTTTAGGAGTATCTATGAATTCAATAAACGGTGTTTTTTTCTATGGATTAATTTGCATTTGTTTTGTTTCCTGGAAATTTGAACATAATAAGTGTGAGTTTATTAACCAGTGAGCTCAATAAGCTGTAAGTACTATATAGTGAACAGCAAACTAAATTATTTTTATTTGTGTTTTCTTTAAGAATCCCACTAAAAAGTTAATAGTGGAAAATGGAAAGATAAACAATAGTCAGGATTAAAATTAGAAAAAAAAACTAAATATATGAAAATAGTAAACCAAACCCAAACTAGTTTTTAGTGTTTTCAATAAATATTGGTTTTCACTATGTTTGACATCCTAGATGGTTGCCTTACCTCAATCCTCCCGTATAGCTGCCACAGTTTTCTTGTCCCATCCAAAATGTATTAAACAAATACATGGAGAAATGAAAACCAATGAACTAAAATCAAAATATTTTCTACTGCAACCATGTAATAAGAAGCATAAAAATATAGCAAAAGAACAAAAAACTGAAAAACTTAAATTATTTTAATATTTAGATACACTCATGTGCTACAATGCTACTTATCAAATGCAAGACAGTATTTTCCTCTCATAATTAGAATTTCAGTTTTGCAGATTTTAGCATCATACGAAAACTACCCTCATTCTGGGAAATAATTTGGAAAAGAATGCTTTACTTGGTATTACTTTTTAAGTTTAGCAGTCTTTCTGTCTTTGTCAATCTAATAATTAATCCAATAATGCTGAATAAATTCTGCCAACTACAATGAATTAAAAATTTTAGAAAATGCTGACAAACCTGCGAAGAAACTGTAGCATCCTCAGCTTTCTTATCATCTCTTATTTTAAGGAAACGAGGGAAACGTAATGAAATACCTTTCTCAGGATCAACCTATAAAAGAATATTTCTTTCTTTCAATACTGCTCGGCAAATCAATAGAAATACAAAATCTAATTTATTATAATGATTTCATTAAAAAAATACATTTGCATATTATTCAGAATATTAGTTAACAGAATACCAAAGAACTTTAATAACTGAGGACTTTTTATATTGGATACACTTTTCCCCTAATTTATCTATCAAAGAAAAGAAATATCTTCATCATTTTAACAAAATGCTATTTCTTCCGACATGAAAACATCCACAAAGTGAAAACATACACATCTTCTCCCAAAGATACTATATTTGACTACTATTTTCTCGGAACAGGGTTTTAATCTCTCAAAAAAAAATAGTTTTACTTATTTTTATTTATTAATTTATTTATTCTTGGTATTGGGAACATTTTGATGGAATATCTCAAAATTTTTTGTGCTATCATTACAGTCTACCATATGTAGTTATTTTATGTGAAATAAGATCTTTATTTATTTTTCCGATGGAGAAAAGCCAGTTTATTAAGTGTTAATATTTCTCAAGATATAAAATGTTTCAAATTAAAACTGCTTAACATGCTGACCAGTTTCCAAGTGATAAATGTACTTCATAAATCTCTGATGTTTAGTTATTTACAAACAAATAACAAATTTAACTAAAAATAAGTTATATCTGGCTGATTATTATAAACATTTGCAGCAATATTGCAATCAATAAAAAATGTTTCTAACACCAAATTTGTCTCAAAGTCACTTACTGTTTTTGTTTACTTTAACAAATGATGTTGAATCTTGGACAGATAGAATAAATTCAGCTTTTCAATTTAATTATTCATTCAAGAAAGGAAAGCATGCATTAAGAACGTGGAAAGCGTGCATTCAAGAACTAAAATTGTGTCTCTTTCATTAGACATAAAAGCGAAATAACTAAAGTTGCTCAAAACACAAAACATTTTAATCTAATAATAAAGATGCAAACTTAATAAAAAGATAATGTCATTCTCCCAATAAAATGCAGCTCTTCTAAAAGTCTGCCTCATGATGGTAATAAAATAAAATGAGCTTAAGGTCCTAAAAATATAGAATCACTCAGTTTCCCATAAATATAAAAGGATAACAGGATTATCCCAATAATAATTGGACAATTCCAATGGCTTACTAAATAAACAGTTCATGGTAGAAAAACAAGCAATTTAATCCTTAGTTTTATGGTGTATAATGGTTTTAAAACTATGTTTCTTAGGGGGGGATCTTAATATTACAGGGTTTGTATACATTTCTGCACATGGAAATTAAGTACTTTTAAGGACAATTAATGAAAAAAATTAAGCACCTATGAGCAAATGGTAACTGAATAAATTCAATTAAAAATATTATCTATGCCTGAACTTAACTTTTCTAATACCATCCTAAAAATAAAATAGATCCATAATAGGATGCATTATTATCAAACATGAATTAATTAGCATAATTATTAATAAGTTTGAAAATAAAATAAACTTTATGAAATTTATCAAGCTTCGTGTACAATTCCAGGGGTTGTAACTCAATTAATAAACTTTAAAGTTGCAATAAGCCACTAAAGCACCAGAGGTGATAAATTGTTTTGTATTACAGTCAAAAGTCGTTAATTCGGACACCCATAATCCGGACCTCAAAGCAAAAAACTTTCTGCGCATGCGTCACTACAGCTGCGCATATGCGTGTGCGCATGCCCATAATACGTTGACGCATGTGCGTTTAATGTATAAAGGACGGTATAAGCTAAAATTATCTAACTATCTATTTCAATTATCTAATTATCTATCATTCACAAAAAAATACAGTCAAAAGTCGTTAATTCGGACACCCATAATCCGGAATGATCTATAATCCAGACCTCAAAGCTACAAACTTTCTGCGCATGCGTCGTAAGACCTTTACGACTGCGAATATGGGTGTGCGCATGCACAAAATACGTTTACGAATGCGCGTTTAATGTATAACGGATGGTATAAGCTAAGCTAAAATTATCTAATTTAGTTAATGTTGCAGATTGCATTGTTCCTTAATCTTCGAATTGGATCCGGCTTATTATTTTTTGCAGACTGTTAGAGCAATTTTATAAAAGTAAGCTTGAACTTTCGATTATGTCCAATAGAATTTCCGATACATATTTTCTAATACGTAAAGCGAAACAAAAGTGAAAGTATGTTTCGAAGTCCATTGAACAAAAGTGGAATTGCTGCAAAAAATGGATAAAGGCATATCCTTTGTTTATCTAAACTTTAACGTTTGTTTATCTAAACTTTGTTTATCTTTAACGCCACGGCGGCAATGAATTGGAAGTTGATCCGTCAGCACTATCCTTATCATCAGGGCAGATAATTTTATTTTATTTGGCTTATAATTCCTTACTAAATGTAGTATTTCATCTCGATGTACTCCGTCTTTGATACGATTTAAATCAAGATCCTCACCATTATAATTCGCTTCCGATAGTGAAGAAAGTGACACAGAGGTTATTGAAAACGAAAAAATTTCGATTGACAAATTAGTCGGTATTCTCGACACAGCAATAATAGGACTTGAACAGCGGAACTTTGTCACTGAACAAGAAATGATGTCTGTTTATAGAATTAAAGAGAAAGTATTATCACATAAAACAAAGCAACTTAAACAACTTACATTGAAATAAATGTTTAATAAAGTAAACAAAAAAATATTAAGCTTTTTTTGTTTTTTGTAAATTTTGATACCCTTTAGATCATAATTGTTCTTTATTTCATAAATTACGGTTTCATATTTTTAATTTTATAATTTCTGCATGCCATATTACCAGATTTAAACTGGTGATCTATAATCCGGAATCACCGAAGACCCGATTAACGACTTTTGACTGTATTTTAAATCTCACTCGATGCAAAGAATCAGTTTTACATGAATTTTTAAATTTTTGTGTTTTATCTGGTGAACACAGTAAGAATTAATGAAAGGCAATAACTCGCTTTAATATACAGTGATAACTTTCAAGGGTAAGTAGTCACTTATGAATAATTAAATTAGGTAGTTAGATAACCTTAGTCATTATAGATTTACATGGCCACTATTAAATTTTATTTATTTTTTAAAAATTTAAAAAAAACCCTATTAAAATTAGTATCTAATAAAATTGCAATTTAATATACATGCAATTTATGAAATTGGTTCTTAAATGATATGATAATTACACATTAATTACAATCTTTTTTAATTATGTGTCGGTAAATCTTGCCTTCAAATCCTTCTAAACGTTCCAAGCTACAATGTCTAAAATCCTAAAGAAAAATTATCCCTACCGATTCTGTAACAGCAAAAAGCCAGAAATATTTTGAAGAGGGGAAAAAAAAAAAAAAAAAAAAAAAAAAAAAAAAAAGAGAGAGAGAGAGAGAGAGAAGGAAAGAGGGAAATTAATTAATTAAGGGAATTAAGTGTAAAATTAATTTCATAGAGAGAATTGATGCATGTTCTGAGAATTTTGAATATTCTGAGACAACTACAACTCTTACTATGAAAAACTTAAAAAGAAGACATTTTAAATTAATTACATAGCTAATTTTGTTTTTGCTAAGAACTATTTTGTAAATTGCACTTTATAGCATTATACCTTGTTTATTTTTCAGATTCAAAATACAGTACAAAGTCCTTAATCCAGACTCGTCGGGACATTGGCGATTCCGGATTAGGGGTTTTTCCAAATTATAGATCATCAATTTAAATCTGGTAATGGCATGCAGAAATTATACAATTAAAAATATGAAACCATAATTTATGAAATAAAGAGCAATTATGATATAAAGGGTATCAAATTTTACAAAAAAAAGCTTCATATTTATTTGTTTACTTGATTAAACATTTCTTTCAATGTAAGTTGTTTAAGTTGCTTCATTTTTTGTGCTAATACTTTCTCTTTAATTCTATAAACAGACATAATTTCTTGTTCAGTTACTAAGTTCCACCGTTCAAGTCCTGTAATTGCTGTGCCGAGAATACCGACTAACTTGCCAATCGAAATTTTTTCGTTTTCACTAACCTCTGTGTCACTTTCTTTCTGCCTTTATCCATTTTTGCAGCAATTCCACCTTTTGTTTGATGGACATCGAAACATGCTTTCGCTTTGTAGATCCTTTGGCAGCTCCAGAATTGGAAACTCTTTTTGACATAATCGAAAGTTCAAGCTTAATTTTTATAAAATTGCTCTAACAGGCTGCAAAAAATAATAAGCCGGATCCAATTAGAAGATTAAGGAACAGCGCAATCTGCAACATTAACTGAAATGCTTTAACATCAGTAAAGATAATTTTAGCCTAGCTTATACCGTCCGTTATACATTAAACGTGCATGCGTAAACGCATTATGTGCATGCATACAAATGTAAAATAAATGTAAAGCATACAAAAGAAAAAGTTTGTGGCTTTGAGGTCTGGATTATAGATCATTCTGGATAATGGACATCCTGATTACGGACTTTGTACTGTATAAGTTGCCAAAATGGAACTTTAATAATGTAACAGCGAAAAATAAAAATGTTGTATTTTAATGTTATTTTTTAAATATAATTTCAATATATTACTATTAGTTTAATAAAATTTATCAATGTCACAATGTTTAAAAAAAATTGTTGAAAAATCCCCAGATCTCGGAATTAAAAATTTTCAATAGAAACTAATTTTAAAATTACCTAAACATTGATGAGTTGTCAAATTTAGAACTGCTTAATAAAAAAATTCAGATCCCTAAAAGCTAAAAGTTATTTTCACTGTAAGAGTTCTTCATTAGACAAAATGAATTTCAAAAAGCTTACGTTTCACTTCTTGCTTAGAAACTCGAGTATCCCACCATTTATATTAGAAATACAGTATAACTCCAATTATCCAAATTGCTTTCAGAATTTAAGAAAAAAATTAAGAGGGAAATGTATTGTTGGACAATCAACGATTTCAAACATTAAAAGGAGCAAACCTACATTGTTAAACTTCATGACACTGCTTAAAAATGAAGATGGAAGTTCTTTAAGAAAATCAATGAAGGCAGCAATTAACAAAAATTTAGAAGATGTTGTTTCCAAGTGGCTTTCGCAGCAATGTTCTATGGGAAACCCAATCTCGGCTCCGATTCTTTGCCAAAAAGCTAAGATCTTAGCTCAGTAGCTTGCTTGTTCATCCTTTAAATCAAGTAACATATGGCTAACATTTTAAGCAGGCATGTAGTTTGACCGAGAAGATCAGCAAGCAATAACTTTCAGCACTTGTAAGTACTGTAGAGTACGCTATGTAACAAGCACATAAAAGTGTTACCTTTTCCTTTTAATTAATTAAAACCTCTTTTTCTTTAAAAATAATTTTTTCCTCCCATTTTCAACATACAATACACACAGTAATTAATTAAAGAGTACGTAGACCCTTTCTTCGGGAAAAATTCAATTACCCAAATTTTTTATTATCCGAATGGGGTCCGGTCCCAGTTAATTCGGATACTTGGAGTTCTACTGACAAATTATAGTTCATGAACCCATTCACCTAGTCAAAAGATAACCATATATGTCAGTGAATCACCAAAAATATTCCTCCAAAATGTTAATTTACACTCAATATGGCAGTCGTAAAAACAGACAAAACTTTCAGATGATTAAAATTAAGGACCTTCTGGCTATTTTGGCTGAAATTAAGGACTTTTCAGGACCAAAACTCGATTCCAAAAAACATAAGGACTTTTAAGGACTCTTAAGGACCGTATGAACCCTGCATTATAAATTCAAGTTTTGACATTTATGTTCAAATGTTATGAAAAATTTAGAATTAATTTTAACTTCTCTGGAAAGGATGAATGGAACAGTAACTTCTCTGGGAAGGATGACTGGAACAGAAGTAGAAAAGAACATCAGGAAAATAAAAATACTGATATAGAAAGTTAAATTCAGTAACTGTTTAAAAAAATATATATTATGAAAGACATAACAGGCAAATTAAGAATGTCATATGAAACAGTAATTTGTGATAAATGAAACTACACAGATACTTAAAAATACTATACATATATCTTTTTTTTTTACAACTGTTTTACAGTTAAATAATTTTTCAACACTTAATTTAAGAAAACTATGGCATTCTAAGAACACCAGTTCTTAACCTTTACTAATTTAGTTAACATTCAGTGTAACATAACATAACATAAAATAATTTTTTTTTTTTTTTTAAAAGGCAGGAGCAACTAACATTCAACATATTATACAAAATGTATATTGCATTGTAATGTAACAAATAATACAGCAGTTGGCCTTCAATATATTGTATAAAATTTTATTACAGAAAATATTAAAATATAACATACTATGCCAATAGCTGCTTTATGAACAGGTGATATAGATAAATCAGCGCATTTGATCTCCCAAACTTGTACTGGTTCAAACCAGTCATCAGGTTCTAAACTATGATCATAACGAAAATAAGACTTGGGTTCTTTGATTACATGCTGCTTTAAGAATTTGGTATGGGCTTCTAGTTCATCTTCTTTGAAGCCAGTCCCCAACTGCAGAGAGCAGAAATATTATAATTAAAAAAGTTTTAATATATATATATATATATTTATGTGCAATAAGATGATGAAGAAAGCTGCAATGAACTGGTGGTGGTGCTCTGCATTATAACTTGGAGAGACTGCATAGTTAGAAAAATGACACTTGAAGGGAAGACTTGTAGACAGATGTGGCCAAATTGAGCATAATTTTTATTGCTGGACGTAAACTAATTATTGAAACATATTCTCCATCACACATGATCATGGACGCAATACGCATCCCCCGAATTTTATATAGAGTATCACATTTTAGATAACGGCGTAGTTAGCAGCGCAACAAAGCAAAGGGAGCGAAGTAGCATCTTCGGCGCAGGAGAGCTGAATCTAAAGTGCACAGTTATCCAGTATGGAGGCTCACCAGGAGAAGGTTTTGGTTTAGGTTAAAAAGGTTTCAGTTCTTGAAATTTCAAGTTCAAATTCTGAATTACAGCCCTAGTTCCTGCAGGTCATTAACTTTATGCAAGCCATGAAAGATGGATTTATCTAATAATGAGGCAGGCCAGAAAAGTTGTTATGATTTTTAGAATAGAAGGGGGGATTAAGGACTATTGCTAATTTAACTTATAATTCCGATTCACATAGTTTTTATCTTACATATCCCCTTCAAAGAGAAAAAGCCTAGCAAAAGCATTAGAGCAGTAGCAAGGAAATTTTATATGATATGTATAGTTGATATAAGAAAGGAAATGAAGGGTTTCAAGGACACTTTTGATGTTTCACTATGGCTCACAAACTTTCTCATATCCAGATACATAAAAATATAATTTTAAAATCAGAATATATAAAAACATGTTAAAAATGCAATTTAGAAATATGAAAACAAAATTATATAAATGAAAAGTTCAAATTGAAAGTCTCTAGAGTTTTAAAAAAGATAAACAAATCTTGTATTCAAGATGTTCTTCACGTTCACAATGTAAACAGTTCTTGAAAAGATATCTTGATAGTGCCTCAAATTTTCACACGTTGTACAAGCTCACTCTTTTGTAAAAACTCAACATTGTTATCAATAGAAGTTATTTGCAAAATATAGTTATGAAACTGCATTATATATAGCATGTACATATTCATAATAAAACAAAAATAGAGTTCCATATTGTACAACAATGGAATAACTGATATTCATAAAAAACAAAATACAATAATAACAAACTTTAATAAATAAAAATCAGCAGGATCACTACAAAGCAAATCAGCGTAATGAACTGTTGATGGCTGTGAGATGCTTAAATACAATTACACGTAAAAGCCTCCATTCCTTAAAAAAGGTGATTAGTTTTTGGTACTGTATGACAAATCAGTTAAAAGTTTCAATTTTACTCTTATGGCCATAAAAATTCTTTTCCACTATACACTTGATATAAAAATAACAATAAAAAACCTAAATACACAAAAATTAAAACTCAAGGTAGATAAATAACTTGTATGCTCAAGTTAATCAAAGAAATTCAATTAATATAACAACATTAAAATGCTTAATAATAATAATAATTAAATGTTTACAATGTGTGTGTTTGTGTAAGAGTGCTGAAACTATGGCCAGACAAATGTGACTGGTGAAAAATACTCAGCTAGTTTTCTAACCATAATGACTCACATAAAAGAAAAATTTAATCTGGGGAATTAAGAGTAAGCCTAGGGTGATAACGAGTGTGTGCTGTCACTGACTGTATCCTCCCTAAGGAGTAATACACATAGTGTGAAACCTTGGGAGTACACATAGTACAAGGAGTAATACACATAGTGTAAATCCTTGGGTCAGAATATCAAATAAAACATTTTGTATTCTTAATCTGGTGAAAGATCCACATTGCAAAATTGAAGGGTACAGTTTCTCTGTTCTCCTCCTCTCCGGGCTTAGGAGGAAATACATAAAAAATTTTGAATGGAAAAACTCTGGGAAGAAGGAAAGGGAAAGAAGCCAGACTGGAAAAAGATCAAATTCGGAAATAAAATTGTCTTAATTGGGGTTTAAGGTCTTGAAGAGGTTAAAAAGTTATGATCAGGTTGAAATACTTTAAAGAAATTTTAATGCATGATTTGGAAAATAAAATTTACTTAATTAGCAACGGGTATTCTACTATTTCGGACAGTTAATTTAAATTCACTTGCTGGATTAAAAGGTATCAGTCTGGGAGAATGAGCAATTTCTGATTTCTTTTTTGTAAAGGGATTTGGTTTATCTATTTCAAAGCTAAATTCAGAATATTCTTTTAAAATTTTATAAGGACCTGAAAAAGGAGGTGAAAGGTTTCTAGTGCTAGGATATTGAAATTCTTCAAAATATTAAATAAGATAGTGGAAATTTAATTACAGAGTGTAGTGTGTTATTGTGCAATTCTACCTTGAAAAGAATTTAATTTACATTTTGATCCAGTTACAATAGTTTGATCAACTCTTTCAATTTCACCATTAGTTTGAGGTCTATTAGCAGTAGCTAATAATTGTGTAACATTATTATTTCTTAAAAATTCCTAAAATTTTGAAGATGTAAAAGCAGCATTTCTATCACTTAAAATTTTCTTTGATACTTGAATTTGAAAAATTTTCTTAAGGTATCTGTAGTTACACTTTTAGAAGCAAAAGTTCACTTATAATGAGTAGCATGATCTATAATAATATGAATCTATTTCTAGTGGCATTATAATAGTTTAAACCACCAAAACTATCAATAGATAATAATTCAAAAGATTCACTTACAGATGGTAAGGCTTGCATTAAACCAAATTTCTTTTGTTTACTTTTCTTATTCAGCTGACATATTTCACAATGTTTACAATAATTTCTAATATCTTGTACTATACCTCCCTAATAACACATAAGGGGCAACAAATTTAACATAGAAGATGCACCTATATAACCAAGTTCAATATGAACTTTTCCAAGTAACTTAGTACGGAGAGACACTGGAACTACAATTTTGTACAAACCTTTTTTTTTTTTTTTTTAATATAGTTAACACATCATTAATTTTCTTAAACTTAAGATGACAAACATTATCCAAATTTTGATGATTCATTTCTTCTAATGACAGTAAATTATTTTTTACACAGAAATGTTAGGAGATGGGATTTCTAGTTAACATATCAGCTCTTCAACACCAACAGAACCTTTCTTATATTTGATATCAAAATTATACATAGGCAATTTTAACGACCATCGAGATAGTCTCCCTGTAGGATATTTTATGTCTTGAAGCCAAGCTAGAGCAGCATGATCAGAGAGCACAGTAAAATGGTTTCCATCTAATGAGCAAACCCAGATTAGCGAACCAATGGTTAAAAGGTGCTCAGGCAGTTATTTATAAAGTCCCCTGTTCTTTATTTAAAGCCAACTCACTTTTTTGAACTGTACTATTACATTCCATAAAAAAATTCCCCAAACTCCATTATATTAAAAAACAAAATCAATAATTATATACAATAAATAAATAAAAAGTGGGAGCCTTTAAAGTTTATCTGAACATACTATAATCATCCATCAATTTTAAAATTAGTTGACATAATTCCGTACTTTTTACAAAGATTTTTCAGTTTATTGAACTACTCATACTATTATAGCACTATTCTATATCAAAATTTGTAAGATAAAGATACATAAATCAAAATTATAAATTAGCAATAATCCTTAATTTCCCTCTTTATTCTAAAAGATGCAAGATGGACTATCTAGATATGACACAGTCCAGAAAAGTTATTAAGATTTTTTTAATAGAAAAGGGGAATTACTGACGATTGCTAATTTAACTCACATTTTTTATTTACATATTTTTTTATCTTATATGTTAGATAGAAAATATGTAACTATGAATTATACATTAAATTAGCAAAAGCCCCTTAATTCCTTTTTTTTTGAATTAGGGCACTTTCCTTTCTGTATACTAAAAACAGTAGAGTACAATGTTCAAGATCCAGACTCGTTGGGACTTCAGCGATTTTGGATTTTTCCAGATATTAGATTATCAGTTTAAATCTAGTAAGACGGTATGTAGAAATTACAAGATTAAAAATATGAAATCTTGATTTATGAAATATGAAGCATTTATGATCTGCAAAGTATCAACATTTACAAAAAAAGCTTAATATTTATTTGTTTACCTTATCAAACATTTCTTTCAATGCAAGTTGTTTAAGTTGCTTCATTTTTTGTGCTAATACTTTCTCTTTAATTTTATAGACAGATGGTTTCTTGTTCAGTTAAAAGTTCCATTGTTATGTCCTGTAATTGCTGTGTTGAGAATTCCAACTAATTTGGCAACTGAAATTTTTTTGTTTTCAGTAACATTTTTGTCACATTCTTCACTATCGGTAGCAGTATTTTCTGGAAATAGAACCATACTATAGATTTTTCCATTTGTTAATTGAATGATGATTGGAGCGTTGTCATCGCAATGAAAAACTGCTGTTATTTCTTTCATTTATTCATTTTATTTCATTTATTGTTAATTTATTACTGCTTCTCCACATTTCCTTACAAAATCTATTATTGGGAAAATTTCACTTTTGGTTTTGCGATATTTGAAAACCTTCAAATTCGCGGCTATCATCTTTTATTGAAATATGGTAGCTGGCCATAAATTATGCCAAGCATTTTTTTAAGTATCTAGAAATACATAATCATCCTCCCACAATCATGTGATGCTCAGCACAGGAGATTTTATGCTAAAATATTTCAGAAATTCTTGAATAGTCTTGCCATTATTCAAGAAATTTAACATCGATTTTAAGAATTCTACTTTATATCTGCATTTCAGCGCGTGCACTATTCTGATATCCGTAGGATGAATGATGGGCATACAATCTGGAGGAAAGAATAATGTGAAAACTATTCACTAAAACGTTAAGTTATGAGCCAAACAGTTGTAGAAACAGGACAATTTTTATGTCAGCAGGTAAACCAAATGAATTCAAATGTTGCCGAGCCTCGGGTATGAAATAATTTTAAACCCAATC